ACTCGATGCTCCTAAAGAAAATGATTTCATGTGCATCTGTGCCTGAGGGCACTGTTTTAACATGGAAAGATAAAGCCAGTTGTATGGAAGATGCAGGAGTGAGACTATGTCTGAGTGAGTGAATGAGAAAATAAATGTTCATCAGATTCTCCATCGGTTCAACCCAGCTTTGTGTCAAACACATCTAGACAGAGGGAAGCACAATGCAGGAAAAGTCACTGGGTGACTTTGGAGAGAAATAATATTAGAAGGTAGGTAGACAAGGAAAGGAGGAAGGGAAGGAGGGAGGGAGGGAGGGAGGAAGGGAGGAAGGGAGGAAGGAAGGAAGGAAGGAAGGAAGGAAGGAAGGAAGGATCACTAGGAAGCCCCTTATGACTTAGGACTTTCTTTATTTCTAAGAGGGGCTGCTCAGGAGCTCTGCTCAGCCTTGCAAGCTCTGCCAGGACAGCAAGATTATGCACAACTCCTTGATGCAGAACTACACCCTAAAGGATGGACTAGAGTAAGAAAGGCAGGTTTTTGTGCCAGAATGCTTCCAGAGGGTGTCAAATCCAGGTACAATGAGCTTATTCTAATGCTTCAGTTGGTCTGAACCAGAAGAAAGTGCAGAAACTAAAGCACTAAACTGCAATTGACAAAAATACTGCCAAACAAAACAAAATAGATTTTGGAATCATTTTAAAGGATGCATTGATTAGACCTGTAGAGTATAATGATATTCTAATGGCAAAATGAGAGACGTACAAGCAAAAGTTCAAGTGTATTTTGAAAGGGCAGTCTGTACAACACAGTTAAAGAAGAGGTGGAAAAACATCATTGTTAGGATGTGAAGAACTAAAAGTACTTTAGAGTAAAGATAAGAAGATTGGAAGCTTGTTTCCTGGACATTTAGGTTTGAGTTGATAATGGTCTAGAATGAAATGACAGAAGAACATGTACACACATAAAAAGTATTCCTAAAGTAGGCCAAGATTTTAAGGGGCAAAAAAGGGAAACAGTTGTAACTGAGAACAAAGCAAAAGCAGTGATACCCATAAAAATGTTTTCTTTAAATAAAGGAGAAGAAAAAGGAAACCATGAATAAAATCTCCTTCAGAGAAAAACTAGCTTTACCTGAGAAATGAATGTACTTGGTTGTCTGTACTTGGTTTATGAAATATGTATTTATGTCTGCGATCTCATTTTTGTCCTTCAATTATATTTTGTAATTAATAATTTCTGAGGTTTAGTAACAACATTGGCTTGCTGAATGCATGCTGGTTTGTACACAGTGTGTATACAAACACTTCTGGCCTTGATACAGCTCCACAGAAGTTATGCCAGTCTAACAGAGAGGAAATTTGGTTCTGTTGTTATTATCATTATTATTATTTGGGATCCTTTTCATTTGTTATCTTTAAAGTGAGAAAACAAACCAGAAGACATTCTTCTTATCAAGTATCAAACAGCCTTTAATTTAAGTTTAAATGTTCATCTATTGCACTGCCTTTCTTTTCACAGACTGCTATTGTTGATATGAAAATCAGTGTGAAAGAATATTATTTCCCTCTCAAATGCAACAGTAGCTGAACCAAAACAGAGCAAAACTAACCAACCAAGAAAAAGAAGCAAAAAAGGAGAGGAGAGGAGAGGTAAATATATAGGAAAGAAAGTGTAAAACTGTCCACCCACCTCCAACAAATTGTCTTGCAAACTGAACACCCTTCAGATTTACAGGTCTGAGCCCACTGGGGTGAACTGAAGTCCTCTGGGAAGCTGGGTCAGCTCCTAGTTCTAGCAAATTCTATCCTTTAGTGAAGTGGTTCAGGTAAAATACACCAGAAGATTTGTCCCAGAAGATAACATATGGAGCAGGTAGGGGAGGATGTAGGGACACTTGGCCTCAGGAGTTACCTTTTACAACGGCAAGCAGTAGAGTAACCTTAAGCAGGACCCCATGACTTCTGAAAATGAGGTACAGTGAGACTGATGCCATTTATGTTCCTAAATATCTCCTGCATTGTTCAGAGCCACCTTCTGCCCTCTTAGCATATTGGACCTAGATCTCCTCCATTTCATTCTCTCCTTAAATCTGACACCTTTGAGTTACTCTCTTACCCCACCTGCAGCCCAAGCAATTTAGGTGAGGATTTCAGCTCTAGGAGCACAGTTGTTCCTCTACTGCCTCTCATGTATCACACTATAACCTCCATTATAAGTTTGGGGCATCTTTTAGACCTGTATATGTCAAACAGACTCAATTAAAGTAACCTACAGTGTACACTAAACCATTTTATTGAAGACATAACTACAAGAAGGCTCTGGGGAAACCTTATAGCACCTTCCACTGCCTGAATGGGACTACAAGAAAGCTGGAGAGGGACTTTTTACAAGGGCATGTAGTGACAGGACAAGTGGTAATGGCTTCAAACTGACAGAGGGCAAGTTTAGGTTAGATATTAGGGAAAAAACCAGTTACTGTGAGGGGAGGTGAGGTGAGGGAACAGATTGTTCCCCAGAAATGTTGGGGAGGCCCCATCCCTGGTCATGTTCAAGGACACTTTGGATGGGGCTTTGAACAACCTAGTCAAGTGGAAGGTGTCCCTGGCCACAGCAGGGGATTGGAACTGAATGGTCTTTAAAGTCCCTTCAAACCCAACCCATGCTATGAAATAGAGTAACACTGAAAACTTGTTGGTTATAAACCACAAACTTGCAGCTAAATTAACTTTATCATTAAGCACTTTCTCTGCTCACAAGGTAATCCTGGAATCTTAGAATGAATCATAGAATGGTTTGGGTTGAAAGGGACCTTAAGTGAATATATTGTATTATATATAGGTGCTGACTGAATTATTAAAAGATATCTTGAGAAAGAAGCAATTTGTATTACAAGTCTCAGGCAAGAAAGATCATGCAGATTGTAATGAGAATAAAATACAGGCTTCCAAAAGGAATAGAAATGAAGTGCAGTTATATCATTGTAACAGAGACTGAATAGCAAATGTGTATTATTTAAGAACCATTATGTGACAATGTAATTAAAAGACTCTTGTGTGATAACATGCAAAATAACTAGTCAAATTAGTTTCATGTGTGCTTTTCACCTTCCAAAGTTTGATTTTTGTGTGTTCAGCACTCTGAATACTGTAATGTATGCTGCAGTCTTTTCTTGAAATCTGGGGTATATATCAAGTAAAAGCTAATTTCCTAAAGGCAATTTTATACTTACCATGTACATTTAAGAGTTAGAAGGCAGATTTCTCAGCTGTCCATATGACTTCTTCTGTTTAATTAATGAAGTTAAAGGGACTATATTTAGTCACAGAGCTTAATGTAACACTACCCTATCAGTCTCACTGCCGTTCCTATTAAGATATTCCAGCAACGTGGTTGAACGAACTCACTGCTCTATTTTAAGAAGGGAGAGGGCATGCTCATAAAATATTGCAGAGGCTTAAAAAAAAATTTAAAAGGTGAAGAGGTGTCAATTAGTTGCTCACCCTTTATGGCTGAAGATGCTGGAGGACAGAGAGCGCGGCAGGGCCAAAGGTGGGCGGTAAACGCGCCCCCACCCCGCCAGCACCCACCCCGAGCCCTGTGATTCCCACTCTCGGAGGCCGGATGCTGGTGGCCTCCCGTGACCGGGTAGCCATCGTTCACTTGTGTCCCCCGCCGGGCTCCGAGGGCGACGGCCGCCGCGGGCCGCCCGGGGGAGTCTGTGCTCCGCGGCGGAGAGTGGCGCCGGCTCCGCCCGGGACGGCTGCTCCCGGCCTCAGCTGCTCCCCCCGCCCCGAGCTGGGAACTGCCGGCGGAGCCGGCTCTGCTGCCGAAACACCCGGGTGAGCTCTGAGGAGCGACCGCGCTCTGTGGGCAGCCGGGGCTGCGAGGAAAGGGGCGGGGAGCGGTGAAAGGCGTCGTGAGTTCGCCTGGTGAATTTTACGCCTAAAATACGATTTCTCCAGGTGGCGGAATAAAACGGTGTCTCCTCACCTTCCCCCGAACGCCTCTGAGGCAGCGTGAGTCACGGCACAACCCGAGAACTGCATCTCGCAACAGCGTTTCACAAAGTTACGGGAGCGTCGGCAGCGCTTCCTACGGGACGGCCGGGACAGCGGCCGCCGCCCCGCGCGGGACGCGCCGTGCCGGGCGCTCAGCGCGGCTCCGCGGGGCGGGCCGGTCCCGCTGCGCGTCGGGCGGCACGGCGGGGCATCGCCGCCCAGTCACCGCGGCTCCCCCAGCCCGAGAATGCCCGCTCGCAGGGAGAAGCCCGGGGGGACCCCCGCCCTCCTGTCCGCCCCGTCCTCACCCACCCGCGTTCCGCCACTTCACCCCCGCGCCGGCGGGGCAGACGCAACCCAAACTGTTTCGGAGGACACCGGAGATCGGTAGCGGAGCCGGCGGCAGCGCCGCGACCCCCTGCTCCCTCAGCCCCGGCCCCGGGGGGAGCCGGCCACACCCCACCTCTCCTCGTCGACCCGCTCGCTCCCCGCCGCCGTGCCCACCTCCCCGGGCCGGGCAGCAGAGACACCGCCTGCCCCCGCCGCCGCAGGGCCGTGCTCCGCACCCTCGGGGCAGCGCCGCGCCCTCCCCTCCCGGCCGCCGAGCGCCCCCTTCCCCGCCCCTGCGCCAGTGCCGGTGCCGGTGCCGGGCGGGGGGCGGTGGCAGCGAGGGAAGAGGGATGAGGTCATCCTCTTTCCCGGCGTCAGTCAGCTGGGTGGTGGCGGCGGCGGGTGCGGGCGGAGGCGGGCAGGGAGGCGGGTGCGGGATGCGCTGCTCCGGGCAGCGCAGCCCTGCCTGCTCCCGGCTCGAGCAGAGCGCGGCGGCGGCGGCCCCGGCACCGCCGGCCCCCGCGGAGGCGGCGGCGGGGCGGGC